CAGAAAGTGCACCTGGAACCCCCCCCCCGCCGCTGACGTTTGTTGATTGACTAGGACAGTATTGTATGAAAACAGTCCTCCTAAACCGCCTTATATCTCCATTCATAGCTAGCAACCTGTAAAAGCTCAGTCCCCGCCTGTCTGATCTTGCTGCGCATCTGACGACTTGATGTTTCTGTTACGTTAATGGCAGTAGCAAAAAATATATAAACTCGTGCAAGCTACATCTTTGAGACAAATAATATGAGGGCTAGTGACAGCAAAGTTTACAACAACACAGGCAGAGAAAATAAAGGCCGCGCAGGCCTGACTAACCTTTGATGATGGCTATGCACTTAACAAATAAACCAGCTACCGTTAGCTCAAATGTTAGCCGATAAGACAGTCAGCTCTGGCAGACTTTACCTAGCTCAACTTTTTACCTGTTGATGAGCTGAAGCACCTATTGACAATGTCAGCTAACGTCTAATTAACACTAACAATGAACTTCAAGCCCAACAAGGTTGGCCACAAGGGCGATGTGACTGGTGGTTTGCTAAATGTGAGTTAGTACCTAAAGGCCAGCTTTTACCAGGAAGGAAGCTTAAACTGGCCAACATTAAGGACGTGACAAGCTTCGACCCTGCAACACCATCTGTGTATTCGCCGCTCTCTTGTTTCGTCTGCCCAACTCGTTAACCTACACCCTATTACCAGTTAGCATGCATGCTAGCTAGCACACTTAGCTACCCTTAACTAGCGTCTTCCGCTTATTTATCGGCGTTGTATTGGTAACTAACGCTGACTGCTGTCAGACGTTGTCTGAAACATAAACGTCAACTACAAGGTCAGTTGGACTAGATACAAATTTTCTGACCGCCGTAATACAGACCCACGAAATTACACTGCAACCTTTCTGCTAACACTAGCTAACGTTAGTTCGCTAAGGTGAGCTGCAAAACTAGAAATTCTCGGCTAGCTAGCGCTGCGCTGTCAACGTTATTACCCACAAATCCCGACCTGCTCAGTCTGCTGTGGTCTTACCCTCATGACGGGACATCCTACGGACACTAACGCAGCCCTCTACTCGGGCTCCCTGGTTTGTAATATAGAATAATATTAGTGAAGAGAAGAGAAGCCGGGGCTGGCTGACTGTCCCTGGCCTCTTCCCTCATGAAGGATCCTGTCTGGCTCACTGCCCCCCTCCGCCTCCTGCTGTGTCACCGTCTGGCGCCCCGCTCCTCTGGCCACGCAGTGGCGCTGACGTATCATCATTGGCTACGTGACTTTTCCTGTTTAGCTTCATGACTGTACAACTCCAAAAATAATAATAATACAAATTCAGTTCACAAAGCTTTGTTGTCCTTCTTACAATCTCACAACCCTTTATATTTATGTTGTGACCCTTTGGAAGGACTGTAAGGATTTGATCCCAAGTGAGGGACCACTGGATTAAAATACCTTATTATATATAAAGTAGTTAAACTCTCAACCAGCTACAACAAAATGATGCTTCTGCATTGATGTATCAATAATAGCAATCTAATATCATATAAAATAATATATCACTGACTGAGATACACATTTTATTTTAAATAAATTTTAATGTTAATACATATCTACTTTTACTCAAGTAAAATGTTGAAATAGATGCAAAGCAGAATAAATATATTTTTTAAAAGGCTTCATTTCTAAGGAACCATAATGAAGGGTGTACACATATTAAATAGCTTCCAAATGTTAAATATCATTGAAGTAATTGGATTTTTAGACGATTTTGCATTAAGCACAAATTAATAATTCTGGGGCATCTAAATCATGTAATACATCAAACTCACCAAACTCAAAGGCTTGTAGACATTTCATGGCTCATACCTTAAGTTTATTTTAAAAAGAATGGGTTGGAACCAGGATGCATTAGATGAAGATTTTTACATTCTGCTCTCCTCACACAGCAACCTGCATAGATAATTGTTTCAATATTTCACAGTGCCTTGTTGTTAGGTCTTGCCAGGCAGACCTTGACCTGTCAGCATAGTGAAGAATTAAACTGACACTCAGACTGGGCAGCTGGCTGAGGTATGTGGATGGAAAGAATAATAATTACCCTTCACAAGAAGCAAATGTAACATCCAATGTCTGACATAAGGCCTGTCCTACAGACTGATACTGAGGAGTCCTTGAGTTTCCTATGAAAAGCATCACTTTCTGCCATTCACAAAAGAACAGAAATAAAAGGAGGGTGTGACATAAAATCAAACCAGTGGAAGGAGTCTATCAAGCTAAAAGAAAGAACACTTAGTCTAAAAATAAACAAGTTACATAAGGGTGACAAAGCATTAAAAGGCAATACACAAAAATAGAATAAAAGTATTTCCCACAGCGAACTTCCCTATGCCCTGTTTTACACTCATACTTCAACAACATGCAAGTCAAGTTTAAAGTCTCCAAACTGGCATAGACCTCAGGTAAATGTGAGAGCCAACCTATTCACTCCAGTCGCTTGTGACTATGTGAGTCTGTAAAGAAAATGATATATGTTATATTAGTCAGGCTTCACTGAATATAGTACTAGGGGAAATATGGTACTTTGCATCATCACTTCAATTATCGTCCAGTTTTTCATTAGACACATTCTGGGGTGATGTTACAACAAGACCGCTGATGGTCACAAAGCAATTAGCCTATGACCAGAATAGATTTTACATCTACACTGCACTGCATTATCTAATCATTTCAGCTCTAGTGCCCTCTCAAAATGCAGTGCCATGCACCTTGTGTTATCACAAGCATGGGGTTTTTAATACATGGATGTTTGCCCTGTGTTAAAAATAGGACAAGTTATTTTACATCCTCATTCTCTTCCTTCATCAGCTGTGTGACAATGTGACAGATAAAATTCACCTAACAATTCAGTGGGTTTATGTCCTGACTGTAACCCAGTAAACACACTGACCCTCTCCCTACCCCCCTACTCCACAAGCGCACAACGTGAGAAGCCGGTGTAGCAGAGCCTCAGATCCGAGTAGACCCATTCTCTGGTTCATCAGCTGTACCTGGCAGAGAGCTAAGCTGATGGCTTGGTAACCTTGGCACCCCCACCCACCCACCTCCCCCCTCAACAGGGGTCTGAACAGAGGCACAGAGGGGGTGGGGATTTCCTACGTATGATAATGAGCAGAGGGAGATTGTATTGTTCATATTACTGTACTGTTAAAAACAATTCAAGTGCAGCCATCGGGTCCTCCTCCTGCCAGTCTTAGGCTCAGTGACTGTTTATCGACTATCAGTCTGAATCCAGACAGAAAACTGTAAGGCCTGCACACTAGATAGGCTGTAAAGCGCCATGTGCCAGATCTACTCCACAAGCGCACAACGTGAGAAGCCGGGCTGCTACTACAACTTCATTCAGCTTTGCCACGCCTTCAACGTAAACAAATGGAGGCTTGACCAATGAGATCCACGATAGATCAGCCGATGATCAGATGACTCAAAGGGGGGAAACTATTTAAAACTCTAATGAGACAGTTGATACAGATTTATTCATTCATAAGCCGTGTTTCCACCGGCGCGCACCACCGGCTCCTGTTGTCTACTCAGTAACCTATTTACCGCACTGCCACCAGCAATACAAACAAAAGAAAAGTCTTTATTCTCAGGAACCTTTTCATTCCTTCACCTTCAAATGAATCATAAAACCCGTTTACTGTGGATTTTCCTGCAGTATGCTGCTGCGCTCTTCTCCGCTCGGGGGGAAAACGCTGTTCTTAAAGGTAGGAAACCTTTGTTTGTTGATTCTTTACCATCATTTATTTGTCCCAGCCACAAGGAAGCTGTCAGAATCTAACGCCCCGTATGTAAAATATGGTAACATGCATTGGGAAAATCTATAAAAGTACGTTTATTTAATAAGTTTAAACCTCAAAATCCCTCACACCCCAATTAAATTACAATCACGAGTAAGTGCTGCGGGCAGAGCGAACCACAAAAACGGGCACGGACTAATTTGACAAGCCTGCGACGTGTCCTTTTTGGGAGAGTAGTAGGCGTCATGAAGTGGAGGACGCACTGCGCCGCGTCTGACCTATTTGGAAAGCTGTTCTGCTGAGTTCCCGTTTCACCAGCGTTTTACTGCCCAGCTGAAATCAGTCTGGTGTGCGTGGCCCACTACCACAGGGCGCGGAGGTCATTTAAATTCACATCCTGCTCTGTGCGGCGGAGTTAATCCAGTCTGGTTTTAATTTGGTTAGTTATTCAAGAGTAAAAAAATTATGAGACCAACAAACTATGACTTTGGTTTGGACAGTCTTATGACCCCTTACAACATGTTTTCTTAAAATCTGTCCGCGTCCTGAGTGCTTCCAGACGCTTCTTGTATCATTAATTGAAGAGAGCAGTGCGCCCGATTCGGATAATCTCTGTGGGCTCCCAAGTGCAGCTGCGTGAAAGACATTGTCGCGCCACCCATCCTTTATTTCAATCAAGTCCTGTGCCTACATGTTGCTCACACAACGTGCACTTAACTGGTATTTTGTATCAGATGTTGGCTGCGTAAGCATGTTAATGGCTGAATGGTTTCAGGACTGTTTGAAATTGAATCATTTCCCCCTTAATAGACTGTAAGCAGGAGGAAAAGATTAATCTGAGGTTTCTCCCAATTTTATTGACATTGTGCTTGTGTTTCCTCAGGTGAAGACAGTGGATTAGATGAATTCTCAACAGAAAGCAAGCGTCTCCTTGGCATCATCAAGTACAACATGAGAAAGAGTTTAGATCTGGACCAGGAGGGCTGCTACCTGCAGATGGACAAGGAGTGTCTAGAGGAGTGTGGCTTCAATGCTACAGCCAAGACTATTTTTATCATCCACGGTTGGACGGTACATATGAACTTAAAACCTTAACATCTCTGCCTTTAGCAGTCAGTCCCTACCTCTTAACAAAATGCAACTTGATCACACGTTTTGAACAGGTGTTAGTGTTTGTTCAGCTGGAGTCCTTTTGATTGTTGGACTTTATCATGTGAATATGAGAAGACTGGGTGTCTGAGAATGAATGACTGATCATTGTCATCCTTCCCCCCCCTTAGATGAGTGGGATGTTCGAAAGCTGGATGCACAAGCTGGTGTCTGCAGTGATGCAGCGTGAACGGGAAGCCAATGTGGTGGTGGTTGATTGGTTGACAATGGCTCAGCAGCTGTACCCTGATGCGGTCAACCACACCCACACTGTTGGCCTTTCTATTGCCACCATGCTTAACTGGCTTCAGGTGCGTAGTCATTTCTACTCGAACCTTTGTGATAAGCAGCTTGGTTTCCTCTCAGGAACTGTTCTACTGAAAGTGAATTCATATGCACCTCTGGGATACTAGTTAGGCATATGAAAATAGAACTAAACCAGTTAACACCCCACTTGGGATACTACTTATGCATATGAAAATAATAGAACTAAACCAGTTAACACCCCACTGAACATCACAGTGCTCTCACATGTTATCAGTCACCCATGGTGTGGTTTGCTCTTATAAAGACAATGTGCAATGGTGGCTTTACAAATGGATCTCCTAAGTTCTTGCTGTTGTACAAATGAGTTAATGTGCGGTACCTGATCTGAGCTGTCCTGCCAAGGTGACATGAGCAGCTGAGCACCTGCAAACACATGAAACCTGCTCCCCCATTTGTTTGTGATCATCCTGCCACATAGTTGTAAACACAAAGAATATTTCAGAAAGATAAGCTGAGACAGGTATTGCAGGTGTTTTTGCATGGAAAGGACTGTCAGTGTAGTGTTTGAGGGCAGATGCTGATTGTAACTTTGTTTCCCCAACAGGATGAACAGCAGCTGCCTCTAGAGAATGTGCACCTGATTGGCTACAGTTTAGGCGCTCACGTAGCCGGCTATGCAGGAACGTATGTACGAGGGACCATCGGCAGAATCACTGGTAACTTAAATGAAACATAATTTGGCATTAAACACTCAAAGTGGTGCTGCATAATTTTCCTGACCTTCTGTCTGAACTTTATTTGTAATAGGACTAGATCCGGCAGGGCCAATGTTTGAGGGCGTCACGGATGAGAAGCGCCTCTCCCCAGATGATGCAGACTTTGTGGACGTTCTGCACACATACACTCGAGAGGCTCTGGGTGTGAGCATTGGGATTCAGCAGCCAATTGGGGACATTGACATCTACCCCAACAGTGGTGAAGTGCAGCCTGGCTGTGCTTTTAGTGAAGTGTTGGCAGTGGCTAGTAGTAAGTGCTTTTGAAATGGCTGCTCTTTGTAGACCAGCAGCCAACAGGTTACTCGCATCAGCAGAAATGATTTGGTTTGGTCTGTTTATACAGTAACCATCTACAGTAGCAAAGATGTGATATAGTGGTCTATATTGCAGTGTATCATTAACTATAGCCCATCTAACCTGCCTTCCTCTTTCCTTAGATTTCATGGAAGTGATGAAGTGTGAGCATGAGCGTGCTGTGCACTTGTTTGATCTCTCCTTAATGAACAAGGACCACATGAGCTTTGCCTTCCAGTGCACCGGCCCCGATCGTTTTAAGAAGGGCATCTGCCTCAGCTGTCGCAAAAATCGCTGCAACAACATTGGCTACAACTCCAGAAAGATGCGCAAGAGGCACACTAGCAAAATGTACCTGAAGACACGTGCTGACACTCCCTTCAGAGGTGAGTTGTAATAAAGATATGATGTGGAAATGTTTTATAGCCAGTTTGATCTTTTACTACTATTGACTTTCTAGAGTAAAACTGATGAGCAGCTCTAACATACAGTTTATCTTTGACATCTTTTATGATTCCACAGTTGCAGGTGTGTAATCTACTACTACACACAACTTAGTGGCTCAAACAACTTGTTTTCTTTTTAAGGCTACCACTACCAGATGAAGATGCATGTGTTTGGCAGGAAACAGTCAGACAGTGCAGATCCCACCTTCCATGTGAAGTTGTATGGTGCACATAATGATACAGGAAACATATTTGTCAACGTGTAAGTACATGATCTAAAGCCTTCATGCAAAACCAGTCTTTTCTCCCATCGCCTCACCATAAGAATGCATGAAACTACTGCATACTGGAATGACTGCTGTACAGTCCTGTGAAATAAATTTTGTAATGACTTCAAAGTGCTAGTCAAAGATCTGTGGTGTACAAGTAGCTCAAGTATTTCTCACAGTGCTGCTTGGGA